GGAGGGTAGAGAAAGAAGGAAGTGTGACATGGATGAGCCCACTCTCGGCTGAACCATCTACAGGGGGCCATGGGCTCGGGCAAGAGGCAGACACGTGAAGAGGGGTTCCCAACGCTGCCTCCCCTGACCAGCTTTAGCTCCTCTCCACTGCAGGCAGTCCAGTCACGACCTCCAGAAGCTACCTCCCTTTTCTCCTTTTCCAGTTCAGGCCTTCCTACTCCCCTGTATGGGCTTTGCTATCACCACCTAACTCAGCCTCCTGCTTCGATTTCCTCCCTCCTCCCCTCCACCCCATACCACACATCTCTTAGATGCCAGAGCCAAACTTTCATCCTGCTTCTCCCAAAGCCCACAGAGAAGGGCAGGCTGTTTAGCATGGAACTCAAGGCCCCCATAGGCTATTCACAACAACACTCTCAGCCCTGTTGCTCACTGTTCCTCTGCACGTACCCTATGTCCTAGCTAAAGCTTCTGTCATCTTCAAACATCCCTCCCTTTCCATCTCGGTGCTTTTCATTCCTGTTGCTTCATTATCTATCTGGAATGCTGTTTTTCTCTTGGTCACCTCCCTGCTGATCCCTCAAGGTCAAGCTCAAATGCTCCCTCTCTACAGAGTTTTCCCTGATCCCCTGGCTGGAGATAATTCCTCCCTTCTCGGGGCACTGCCCCGTGCCTCTATGTAGCACGCAGCCTCTATTTCTGTACTGAACATATGCCTACACGTACTGGTTAAGAGTCTAAGTTCTGCCGTCTGAATGGCTGGGTTTGAGGCCTTGCTCTGTCACTTACCAGTTCTATGACCTTGGCCAAGTCACTTGACCACCTCATGTCTCATCTGTGGAATGGGAATAATGGAAGTACAACTTCTTTGAGTTGCTTTGGCAATTAAATGACATAATCCATTACATGCCTGGTGTATGGATAAGGGTTAACATCAGCACATGTTATTGTTATTATCTCCCTGATTGAACGGCGGGTTCCTTGAAGGCAGGATCTCTGTCTGTTTGTATTTGTGACCACAGTGCTAGGGTCTGGCCAGGTGCTTTAAACACTGGATGAGCTCAGTTAATGTGTCCTGTGAATGAGTGACTCACGCGGACCAGCCTGATCCATCCGTCAGGACAGTTAGCACTGTGTTACGTGCTAAGGACAGATAGCCGTTATTTAATCTTCACGGTGGCTCTATAAAGCAGGTATTTTAAAAAGCCTGCTTTAGAGACACGTGGGTGGCTCAGCCGGTTAGACATCTGCCTTCGGCTCAGGTCATGATCCCCAGGTCCTGGGATCCAGCCCCACATTGGGCTTCCTGCTCGAGTGGAGCCTACTTCTCCCTTTGCCCGTCTTCCAGCTTGTGCTTTCTCTCTCTCTCTCTCTCTCTCAAATAAGTAAATAAAAATCTTAACAAATTTGTTTTAATTTTAAAAACCTGTTTTACAGATGAGAAAACCAAGGCACAGGGAGTTACGTAATCTGCCCCAAGTCCCACAGTCCACACTCCTCCCTCACTGACCCTACCCTATTCTTCACCCTAGATCTAAACATCAAAGGAGGTGACATTAGGAGATTCTTGGCAAAAGCTTTTTTCTGCCTCAGGAAATTTGCTCTTTGGTCCCAAGAGCTGAAGGCTGTTCCTACTGTATCTCTTCTGTCACCTTCTTTTGTCCTTATCTTGCCTTTAGGCCCTGGTCTGCTTCCGCATGTCAGAACCTCTTGAACTTGTGGCCCCTAGTGGCTAGATAAATGCCTTCTAGGAATACTGAGTTGTCCTAGAAGGACCTTCTCCAGTCCCAGGGATGTCCCTCTGCTGCTTCATCATGCCTCAGCTAGGACAGGCATTCCAGGAGTCAGCCTCCATCAACCTCCCCCTCCTCCAGGAAGCCTTCCTGGCTTAGCTGGACTTCATGAGCCCCCATCACTCAGCCTTGCACACTCTATTTGCTCTACACTGGTATTGACTCAGGAGGAACAGCCTGTGAGCATCTTACATGTGCTTCTTCTGTGTTCTTGTGTCTACCCCCATTTGTTGGAAGCCCTCAAGGGAGCAGTGTGTAAGAACAGCTGGTCCCAAGGCCTTGTGTTCATGCAGGGCCCCTCTCTGGTGGCTGGAAAGGAGAAAGCTATGTTCTCTGCTGAGTTGTGGCAGCCCGGACCCCCTCATACTAATGAAGACGTGTGTCAGCTGCTGTTACTTGCCTGCCCCATTTCATCCCTGCAACGGACCCCAGTCCCCTTCCAGGAGCGGGGAAAGGGCCAGTCCTCTAGGCATCAACCTAACTGAGCCAGGATCCCCAAACACTTTGCCTCCCCACAGGGCTCACTTGTTAGAGTGCAATTTTCTGCTCCGAGAAATTGAGAAATTCTGCCACTTTGGTTTTCAGGAACACACTCTTCTTGTCTAGATTTTCTGGGCCAAGGACAGGGCCAGGATGCAGGAGAGGGACCCAGAACACCCTTGACAAAAATAATGTCACAACTTGTTAATGCTTCCTTCTCCAGCAGTTTACCCAGTGTCTGTAGGACACACACTTCTTGAAGGGATTTGGTGGCATAAATGCATGTAGAACTTGACCAGTATAGCATGCGTGCCATTCCTGGGCATATACTAACTTAAGGCAAAGCCAGGCAACACACAGTCCTCCTCAGTGGCAGGGAAGAATCTGCCCGAAATAAACACCGCCTGCCACCACCCTCAAAAGCTCATGACATAAAACGCCTGTATGCCTTTCCCACCCCCTTGCTGACCTGGGGTATAAAGAAACAAACTCTTCCTATCCTAGTCACAGCCAAGCTGCACTGAAGTCAATCCCCACAGTCCTCAGAGGAGCCAGAGGGCTGAGCCTGGGCTAACTCAGCTCTACTTTCTTCTTCATTCCCATTGGGGAAACTGAGGCACTGAGATATGGTTCAGCTACCTAAGCACTGGGCTGAGATGTTGGGGAGTAAAGGGAACTCTAATACCTCTGCCTGTCACTGCTCTGTCTCATTTCTGGGCAGCCTGGCAAGAGGGGAGAAGGAGGGGCAGTGTGAGGGGTGGGGGAGGGGGAGGGGAGGGTGCTGAGCTCTCCCATCTGAGTGTCATTCTGGGCCCTAGGCCAGGCATTTGGCTTCCTCTCCAAGAGAGTCAAAGGCTGAAGCTGCTCAGACAAAGGGCCAAATGAAAGCTAATGGGGAGCTTGGTGACTTCAGCCTCTCCCCTTCCTCCTTGCGGGGACTAGGGGGCTCAAGTCCTTGGCAGGAGAGGGTGCAAATCAAGACCTGGAGCTCAGCTCAGTGCAGATTCCTATTTGCCTTTTTTTATTCTCCTGGCATCCTCAGACTATCTTCCTCCCCTCACCCCCTCCCACCTAGGGTGCTATAAAAAATGCAAATCAGTAGGATTTTAAAATTCAAGCCTATGCCAGGAACACCCACAAACCCTCTATTAAGGCAGATCCTGAGGTGGGTGGTGTGGTCCCAGATTCCAAGCATAAAAAGAGGACTCTATTAGATTCTTTTTTCAGCATGGGCCTTGGACTTCAGACATGATCTGTGATGACCTTGACCTTTCTGATCTTGGACAAATGAATGGGAAGAGTCAGAATTATATATGCGTGGGCTGAGCCTGACCATCCCAAACTGACACGGGAAGCACGGGAGAACCAGCATGGGAAGGGCCAGGATGGAAACTCCTCTGTCCCTCACCTAAGCAGCATTTCTCTGGATAACTTTCCCATCTGAGTGTCACCACAAAAAGGGCTTGAAGAGGAAGTTCCAGAGAAGTGACCATTGACCTGAGAAGGCAGACGCTGGAGTGGGACAGGAAGAGCGCCTTCGAGCCTTGACCAGGAAGCATCAGTGAGAACACCTGCTCTGCGAGCTGCCCTCCCCCCAAACTGGCCCCAGATACAGCTGCCAAGTTTGGAGGGGTGGGGGTGGGGTAGTGTAGAGTTTGCAGGAGCTGGACAGGATGTCATGGAATCTGGAGAGCCACGGATCCAGGTCTGCTGTTGAGAGCCTGGGTGCCCCTGGCTCTGGAAAGAAGGAAGAAAGAAGAGGGGAGAAAAGTGAGACCGAGGAGAGGTCCACTCCAAGAGAAACTAAAAGGAAAAAAAAGAGGTAGAGGCAAAGGAACAGGAAGGAATTGGATTGAGAGAAAGGTGGGCCTGGGGGCCAAGGTGGGGCGGGGCGTGCATATCTGCGTGAATTCGGGTGGTTGCAGGAACAAGAAAGATGGCAGGTGTGTGTGCAGGGTGGGGTGGTATATGAAGTCGGTGAGAATCAACCTAACAGAGCTTTGGGGGCACCCATCCCCCTACTTGGGTGATGCCCGGTTCCCAGCCCGAGCTCCTTCTCCTGACCCCTGCACCCTTGGCCTCCGCAAGCTCCTTCCGCACTCCCCACGCCCAGCCCTGACATCTGGTGGGGCCCCCGCAGCTCCGCTTGCGATCTGCCAGGCGGCGCCCCTCCTCCGGCGCGGGGCCCTCCCCCGCCCTTCCAGCTGCCAGCACCCCCTCCTTGCTGGCAGACAAGCCCGGGCAGACAGCCGGCCCGGCCTGCCCCCGCAGCCGCGCCAGCTCTGCCAAGCCCGGCGGGGCTGGGGGCCCCAGGCGGTGCCAGCTCCCCGCGAGCCAGCGGTCCCCAGCCGCCCTCCGGCCCGCGAGCGCCCGGCCCTGCTCCCGGCGCCCAGCCAGCCCCGCGGGGGGACCCCGAGCGGTCCCAATAGCCGCCCGTCTGGGAGTGCGCCCCCCGTGTCTCCCGCCGCCTTCTCTGGGCGCATTTCAGTCTGGGTTTGGGTCGCTCGGTCTCCGTCACTCGCTCGTGTCTGCCTCGCTCTCTCAAATCTTTGCTCCAAGTTTCCTCGCGGCCCTTGCCCTCGGAACAGGCCCTGCCCTCAGCCTGCCCGCCCGCTCCTCGCCGGCCTTCCTCCGCCCTCGCACTCCCGGCTACCCCGCCCGCGGCGGGGGCCAGGTGCGGTCCGGGCGGAGCAGTCCTCCGGGCCCCGGCGCCCGCGCCGCGCTTACCAGCTCCTGTTTGAGGCGGCGCAAATAGCAGTCCATTTCCCTGCTCTCTTCCTCGTGCGCCCATTTGCCGGGCTCGGCTCCTCAAGAGCGTCCCCGGGTGGGAACAGCTGGCCCGGGCCCCCGCGCCCCGAGCCTCTCGCAGCGCGGAGCAGAGCAGAGCCCCGGCGCCCAGGCCCGGACTTAGAGCTGCTTCCCCGGCTCTCGCGGCGCGCGGTCCGTGCGGGGGGCGGAGGAAAAGTGGGACAGCCTATGAGAATTCAGGGGGGATGCCTTCAGCCAATGAGATGGGCGCACCGGGGGCGCGGGCTGGGCCTCGGCGAGGGGAGCCTGCCGCGGGCAGTGGCACGGAGCTAGGACAGCGGCGACTGGGGGCTGGCCGGACGACACCTGGTCCCCGCACGCACGGCGGGGGGTTTCGTGACGCCAGACTGTACCGACGTCCCCCAACAGAACACGTGATCCCCGTTTGGTCACAAAGAGAGAGCACCGTCTTACGCGCGCGGGCGCTGGGTAGCGGTCTCAGTAAAAGGCCGAGTGCCTTAGTTTCTTTCAACCTTGTTTCCCAAACTCCGATCAGAAAAGGAACATCCTCCACCCAAGCAGCCAATCAGCAGCCCTTTTGAACTCTGGAAGTGTGCTGGAAGTCTGGAAGTTTGCGTGTACTTCACTTCCTAGTGTAGGGTCCCTCCAGCCCTACTCCTCACCGGTGGAGCTGAAGAGCCACTGTTCGGTCCATTTGCTTATTTAACTAACACATGACCGAAGCAGAGGCTCTGCTGTATTCCCCGCCAAGTGTGTTAAGTCTGGGGATACTGAATGAAGAAGACAGGGAAGGAGGTCTCTGCTCTCGAGAACAGGCATGGGGGAGGGGTAGCGAGGGATAGGGTAGGTTAAAATAAACAAACACGGTAATCTCAGGTAGTGATTCTTGGTGAAAAAAAAAGGGGGGGGTGGACAGGGTCATGGGATGGGGGCTGCTTTCGATAGGGTGGGCAAGGAGGGGAGGAATAGCCCCTCTCTTCCCCAGTACTCCTCCAGCGTCAGTTATCCTGACTGTTGCTCTAGGGAGGAGGACGCAAAGTTGCTCGATCCTATTCAGTGGACAGGGCCCTAGCCCGAGCCCGAGCCCGAGCCGGAGCCGGAGTCGGAGCCGGAGCGGGAGCTGGGGCAGGTGGACCTGAGAGGGGCCGCAAGCCGGCCGGGCGTCCCTCCCCTCGGAGCTCCGGACCCGCCACGCCAGCCGCAGCGCATAGCCGGATTGCGGGTCCCTCCCAGTGCCTAGGCGCCGCACCACCCTCCCCCACCCGCCCCAACTCGCCCCGCCCCCCGGGAGCTGGTGTTGCAGGACCCCAGAGTAATTAGGGTGATTAGCGACGTTTTATTTCAAGATAATTAAGGGGAGAAAGTTTGCCTCAGGCAGAATTTGGGTTCTCTGTGACAGAACCGTGCAGACGCGGGAGAAGGGACAGAGAAAGCAGGTGCTGCGGTCATTCCCATCTTTGTCAGCAAAGAGTGCCGCCCCTGCTCGCTACTGAAAGGCGGGAGAGAGGCAGGGAGGATAAAAATGAACATCATCAGAAACGAAGACTTCGCAGAGTCCATTTGGATGCTTCCATTTAACTTCGGGTCCTCACAGGGAATTTTGCCCCTGTCTTTCAGTCCCCTGAGTGCTCCCCCCATCCACCCCGCCTTTTGGACGAAGCTGCAGCAGCGGTAGCAGATGGTTCCAGAAAAGAAAGAAGAGGAGTAGGTGAGTCAGAACCGGGTCCGAAATCTGTGTCTCAGTGACGGCTTGCCAAGCCCAGGGACCTGCGCTTCCTCTGCGGTCCCTGCTCAGGATTCCATGTGGGTCACAAAACCCGGGGACCGCAGGGTGTAGCTGAGAAGCTACTCAATTCCCAAGCTGCGGAGCCTGACATTCCATTTCCTTCCTCTTTCGAGGTCCGGTAACCCGGGTGAGTCCCGCCCCGGTCCACACAGCGCTGTGCTCCGCCCAGCTTCGTTGCAGTTTGGAGCCAGAGATCCCTAAGGCGGGTCTTTCCGTGGTACCCCAGGCGTGCTCACCGTGGGAGCCACCCCCAAGGACTGAGTTGCAGTCCCCAGAGTGGCTGAACCTTTTCTGGAGTTGAATCTTCTGGGATCGAAGCAGAAAGGGGCACCTGGCCACTATCATAATCTACAATCTTACACGGGGAGAAACACCACCAAAGGTTCCCCCACCCCTGCAGGCCTTGCTCATTCTTAGAGCTCCAGGGCCCAGCAGTAGCAGCTATAGAAGGCAGTGAGTAAACAAACATTTGTGGTCCGGGGTAGAAATAGTCTTTAGAGTCAAGTTTAAGCCACAGTTTTGCCACTCCTGAGGGCTCCTGGACTGGAATCCTCTTGGAGGTTAAGAAGATGGCTGCAGTTCACACCAAGAGATGCAGGCTGATCTCCTGTAAGAACCTTAGACGGAGTGGTCGGCCTCCCTAGCCTGCTGACAGCACACTCTGACTTGCACAAATGCTTCCTTTTTACAGGGCCCAGCTTCCCTTGTGTGTAGTTCAACCTCTGTGAGCCTAACACTTTTCTACTCCTTATGAAACTCTACTTTGACAATGATCTGTGATGTAGTCAGGACAAGAGGAATCCATCTCAGAGATGAAGAATATATTGTTAGCAAAGCCAGACTGTATTCCATCCACTTTATATATATGTATAGAAAATAAAATCCCTTAAAGTGTATACATCTACATGTATATACATATATATGTATATGTATATAGATGTATATACTTTAAGGGATTTTATTTATTTATTTGACAAAGAGATCACAAGTAGGCAGAGCAACAGGCAGAGAGAAGGAGGGAAGCAGGCTCCCTGCTGAGCAGAGAGCTTTATGCGGGGCTCGATTCCAGGACCCTGAGACCATGACTTGAGCCAATGGCAGAGGCTTAACCTACTGAGCCACCCAGGTGCCCCTATACATTTTAATTGAAGTATAGTTGACATATAATATGCTAGTTTCAGGTGTATGACATAGTGACACGACAGTTATATACATTATGAAATCCATCTACTTTAAAAAGAATTTTATATTTATTTTTATTTTTTATATATTTATATATTTATATATTTTTTATATTTTTATAATTATATTTTATATATTTTTATATTTTCATTAGCATATAACATATAACGTATTATAATGTATATATATGTATATGTATATAATACATATAATGTATTATAAGGTATTATTAGCCCCAGGGGTACAGGTCTGTGAATCATCAGGCTTACACACTTCACAGCACTCACCATAGCACATACCCTCCCCAATGTCCATAACCCAGCCACCCTCTCCGTATCCCCCCATTCCCCGGCAGCCCTCAGTTTGTTTTGTGAGATTAAGAGTCTCTTATGGTGTGTCTCCCTCCCGATCCCATCTTGTTTCATTTTTCCTTCCCTACCCCGCAAACCCCCCACATTGCCTCTCAAATTCCTCATATCAGGGAGATCATATGATAATTGTCTTTCTCTGATGGACTTATTTTGCTCAGTATAATACCCTCTAGTTCCATCCACGTCGTCGCAAATAGCAAGATTTCATTTCTTTTGATGGCTGCAAAAATCCATCTACCTTTAAAGGCAAGGAGATGGCAAGAGAAAAAAAATTGATGACTGTGATCCCAGTGCAGGGCTCCAAAGAGAGGTTTCAGACAAAACTTGCTGCTAGTACTGTGTGGTTCCCACAGGGTTTTGGACGAAAATGGCTGGTGGACTCTTAAGTCCTTTCATGACATTGGGCCATTGCAAACTTGCCCTGAGAAGGCCGGTGTTGCATGAGGGTGTGAGGGTGTGTCTCTTACCTTGCTTCTGAAGAGATAGTTCTGTCCTTGGGGCAGAGTAGGAGGCAGGAGCAGGAAAAAGGACTGCTGCTTACATTTTTCTCTTTTTTTTCCTTCTTTTTTTTAAAGGTGTAAGTGGTAGAGGATAAAGCTTGTTGCCATAGTTATATAAACACGGATAAATATTACTCGGCTGAGGATGGGGGATGGGGGGCATGATTCATTTTTGCTGAAGAAGAATCAAATAGTTCCACCTCCTCTCTCCTGCACCCCGGAACCCAGCCTGGAGGGAGGAAGAGATTATCTCATTTGAAAATTAAAGAATATGTCAAAGGTCTGAGATTGGCTGTGAATATATACTTTCTCAAAGCCATCCAGAGCTGGGATGGAACCCTCAGAAAGGCAGCTCAGCATTTGCCCCCTGCTGGTGGGATCGATGGGGTGGGTGCTTTTCCTGAGGGTAAGAGTGCTGCTCCTGGAAACCGGTGTCTTAAGGGTGTCAAACTCACGGGGTTCGCCCAGCCTAGTCAGGGCGGGTGGCCTCCTCTGTCCCGCTGCCAAAGCCTGGAGGTCCTGGCACCAGTGACTGAGCTCAAAGGGAGAGGCAGAACTAGTTGTGTCCCAATAGAGCTCACATCCTAAACGAAACAATGGAAACCCTGCTGTTCTGGCTCTGCATCCTGTGGCCCCCACCTGGAGGTCCCCACCCACCATGTCTCAGCAAGCTCTGGAAGGGGCATCCCCGGGTGAGGCAGTGCCCATCTCCCCTGGCAGCGGAGGAACCAAGGAGCTCATATGGAGGTGAGGAAAGACATACGGGGCCACACGCAGTCTGGAAACCCCATCATAACATACCCCTCCTCAGAGTGGGTTCCGTATCCCCGCTGCCCTCCTGCCTCCACACCCTGGGCCTGCCGACAGCCCTCATCCCGAACCCCCTCCCTGATCCCCCACACCTCCAGAGCATCAACAGGAAAGGCTGACCCTAGAGATAAACGCGTGCTGTTGGAATGTGTTCAGATAGCACTGCGGAACCGCTGCTCTCCCCAGGCAGAGGACCTTGCCTGGCAGGCAGGCCCGGAGGAGCTGAGCAGAGATTGTGCATCTGCGCGTGAACAGAATGCATCAGGATGGTGGGGAGGAGGCTGAAGTGAGGCCTGGCTGTTCTCGAAAGAATCTAACTCCTAGCTTTAGTCCTCTGTCCTCCTTAGACAGGGTGCTGGGCTCCTCTATCTCATGCAATCCCTATTCCAGGTGGGACAACAGAGGGACCAAGTGGCCTATATGTTAGGAGGGCTCTAGGTTCTGGAGGAAAGGTTCACTTTGGATTTCAATTGAAAGATATTTTGACTGGCTGGAAGAATTGAAGAGTCTAGTTGTGAAAAAAAAAATTCCTTAGCTTTTATGTCTTTAAACACAGGGTGTCATTCTCCCCACTTACAGACAGAGCAACTGAGGCCCGAAGAGATTGGTCTGTATGGTGGTGGAACAAAGTC